ATTCCTTTATAAATGAGTAAAAGCTGCCATACATACAGGAGTGTATATTCCTTTATAAATAAGTAAAAACTGCCATACATACAGGAGTGTATATTCCTTTATAAATGAGTAAAAGCTGCCATACATAAAGGAGTGTATATTCCTTTATAAATGAGTAAAAGTTGCCATATATACAGGAGTGTATATTCCTTTATAAATGAGTAAAAGCTGCCATACATACAGGAGTGTATATTCCTTTATAAATGAGTAAAAGCTGCCATACATACAGGGGTGTATATTCCTTTATAAATGAGTAAAAGCTGCCATACATACAGGAGTGTATATTCCTTTATAAATGAGTAAAAGGCATCAATGAGACAGTATGTACATCATCATCTGATCAGAAAACTTAACATTGAAAAAAGTGCTGCATCATGACTAAAGAGATTAACAAGCTCTCTTAAAATGAGGTATGTGTATTCAGACGTTATATCATTGCATCTAAATATCAATTATCTCAATTATTACATTGCAAATATTAATGGTCTCAATTATTACATTGCAATTATCAAAGGTCTGTCATTAGTCATTCTTTATGAACATTTTCCTAATCAGGTCCATTTCATAATAATAACCTTTGAAACAACTTGCAAAAAAAAATGATGAATGTGAAAATCTAAAATCACTGAAGTATGATGAAAGGATGCGGGATGAAACCTATTATACTATTTCTAGCTATAATGCATAGAACAGCATATATTATAATACAACAGACTTTTGATACAGTTATTATATTATAATAACTGTATCAAAAGTCTGTTGTATTATACTTTTTCTAGCTATAATGCAAAGTCTGTTGTAAGTTATTCACATACAAACTTATCAGAAAAACTAACATTAGGAAAATACAAAAGCAAATTAACTGATGCCTCTCATTCACTGCCATGTTAGGAAAATCAGGCAGTCCATCTTGAAACTGATCCAAAAATTTAAATTATACATGGCTATACAGAGGTCAAATGACTGTGGCGCAAACCAACAGACCAATTTAAAAAAACCCGCTATAAATAACCATAATTGTCAAGAAAACATAATATTGAAAATTGAACAAATTGCAGAATGTAGATGTAAAAATAAGATGTGGTATAATTGCCAATGAGACAACTCTCCACCAGAGACCAAATGACATAGAAGTTTTCAGCTATAGGTCACAATATGGTCTTCAACAATGAGCAAAACCCATACAGCATAGTCAGCTATAAAAAGCCCTAAAATGACAAATGTAAAACAATTCAAACGAGAAAACCAACGGCCTGATTTATGTACAAAATAATGAACGAAAAACAAATATGATATGGACACAGTTCTCTTCCTTTGATTTTCGTTGTCTACAAATAGAATCCCTAGTGTAGACAGTGTATAACTTGCAAATTTTTTTTATATACCTTTCAAATTTATTTCTTTATATTTTATGCAAAAAATAGTAAGTAGGGGGATGAAATTACATGTTAAAAGATTTGGGGCATGAATTTTTAGGTAAAGTAGTGATTTGGTTCGGTTTGAAAAGGTAAAAAATTAGTATGTCTGAAGCTGTCAAACTGAATTTTAGACCCCCTTATCATAAAAGTGGCCATATTTTGAGTTAGAGCCAGTAGACTATTCTATAATTTTGATATTATTTGTCCCAAAAGTAGTACACTACACTGTAAAAAATTTTTTAGGATAGAGCAGGTGCAAAGTTTTTTTTAAATTTGCGTTTTTTGTCTAAAAGAAATGCACTACGAAATAACTGTGTTCTCAGGCCTGAGATACTGTGTCTGTTTATATACCAAGCATTATGGGCAAAGGGAGATAAATCAAAACAAAATATGGCCTTAATCTATATCAGAGCTAATTTTAATTGGCATAACTAAATCAATCTGTATGATGATGCTAGTAGCCTACTAGTACTTGATTGTAATCATCTAAGATGGGATGGTTTGTTCAGATTTCTCCAAATCTTGAAAAATCTAATTCATGTTTATTTAACAAGTGTCTATCCATAGGTAGGCTTGTTGTTTAGGAACTGTGGTTTATATAAAAATCAAATGACACATATACCTCTTATAATGACAATGTTTATGGTTAATTGTCTTGAAAAGAAACCCAATTTAAATGTGCATTTATGATATTCAAAGGATTCATTCAAAAGAAAATTAAAACAAATACTGTAAATTCAGAAATTATTGAAATTTTTTTATTAATGAAAAAAAATGTGACAGTTTCAGGTTCCAAATAATAAAAGCTCACATTTATAATTTCAGTAATGATTTTCCTTCACAAAATGTTTCCAATCACATTAATTATATCTTGCATTTTTACAAGTATTCAGTGATTAGCAATAATAAATATAAAAATATAAGATGAGGTATGATTGCCAATGAGACAACTCTTCACCAGAAACCAAATGATGTAAAAGTTAACAACTGCACACATTAATGCAGCTACATGACATTGACTACTTGCTAAAAGTGAAAGCAAGGTACATATTTGAGGAGAAAATTGAATAAGTGTATAACTTTGATTTATTCAACTTCAAAATGCATCTTAAAAAACTTGAGAGACAAAAATGGCTGACCAAGCAAGTCCCCAAAAAATCTATCAGACATCAGAGCAATAACAGACTGAATAAAAGTACAAAGTTTCAATGTCCCCCGCCATATTTTATCTATCCAATGTACAAGGGCAATAACTAAAAAAAAACCACTTTTTTTTGTTCTTTAAAACAATTTATAAATATCTTAGAGAAATGAAGGCTTCAGAGCAAATGCAATGCAACTTCGTTATAATTAATATTTCCAAGGGGCATAACTTGTTAAATATATTTGATCAGCACTTATTTTCAATAGTGTCAAAGACATTGCTGATATAAACCTATGATATAAGTTTCATAAAATTCTGGCAAGAATTGTACACATGAGAGTGCTAACGATGTAATTTTCCATATAATTAATGTTTCCAAGGGGCATAACTCTTTTAAAAATAATTGATCGGCACTGATTTTCAACTCGTCCAAGACATTGCTAATATAAACCTATGAAATAAGTTTCATAAAATTCTGGCAAGAAATGTACATATGAGAGAGCTAACGATGAAAATAATTTTCATATAATTAATGTTTCCAAGGGGCATAATTCTTTTTTAAATAATTGATCAGCACTGATTTTGAAACTCATCCAAGCCATTGATGAGAGCACTAACAATGCAATTTCCCATATAATTAATGTTTCAAAGGGGCATAACTCTTTTAAAATACTTGATCTGCACTGATTTTCGAACTCCTCAAAAACATTGATGATATAAACCTATAATATAAATTTCATAAAAATCTGGCAAGAATTGTACACATTAGAGCACTCATAGGCAATTTTCATATAATTAATATTTCAAAGGGGCATAACTCTTTAAAAAATAACTGATCGGCACTGATTTTCGAACTCCACAAAGACATTGCTGATATAAACCTATGATATATGTTTCATAAAATTCTGGCAAGAATTGTACACATGAGAGTGCTAACGATGTAATTTTCCATATAATTAATGTTTCCAAGGGGCATAACTCTTTTAAAAATAATTGATCGGCACTGATTTTCAACTCGTCCAAGACATTGCTAATATAAACCTATGAAATAAGTTTCATAAAATTCTGGCAAGAAATGTACATATGAGAGAGCTAACGATGAAAATAATTTTCCATATAATTAATGTTTCCAAGGGGCATAATTCTTTTTTAAATAATTGATCAGCACTGATTTTGAAACTCATCCAAGCCATTGATGATATAAACCTAAGATATAAGTTTCATAAGATTCTGGCATGAACTGTACATTTGAGAGCGCTAACAAGACCGGACGGATGGACGGACGGACGCCTGGTATTTCTATGTCCCCCGCAACAAGTTACGCGCAGGACAATAAATGGATGAAAGGAAATGTTTTCTCAAAAAGATGTTTCAAGACATGCTAATGATTGCATGACAGATGAATAGGGCAAGTCATTCATGCATAAATATAGGTTGTGGCAACCTAATTTTTGAATTAGACATGTTAGAAGTGCACATTGACAAAATATCGTTTTTCTATGACATATATTTGTTTAGATCTTTAGATCTGTTTAAATGCAAACATGGCAAGGTCAGGCAAACAAACCGACTACATGTGACTTGAGATTTGAGAACACAATAACAAAGTGATGTATCCAAGGGGGGGGGGGGGTCTCTTCCTATATGAAGGTATATACATATGTGCCGCTGGAATGGGTCCCTTTTTTGATACGTCAAATATATCAATGGGGTGCAATTTTACCAAGGAAATATATCAATAGGTAGTAATTGACCAATTGTGATATATTTAGGTACTATTTGAGCTGATAAATATATGAATTGGTTATGATTTCACTGTGAAATATATGTATAGGTAGGGATTTCACAATTATTCAATATATGAATGGGGGGTGTTTTTTAAATCCCAGCTGCACAACTGTACCCAAAATCCCATGTTGAGACCCCCCGTGGATGTATCCTTCTATAGCAAAGGAATAATTATCATTATAATCAAATAATTGCTTATAATCCAACAAATAATATCAAGATGGACACAGAAATATATCTTCAATATCATAATTACTACTAAATAATATATATTAGTCTGTATGGTCAAGGTAAAGCTATATCAAATTAGTAATAGGAAAATAGATATTAGATCTAAATACTGTAATTAAAAAAAAGATGTAATCACAAGTCAACAACTTTATGGGAATAAATTATGTCAAAATACACAAAATTATGTTATTAAATTCTCTGAAGTCTGACATCACTAGATTAGATTAGTTCTGTTCAGTCACCACAAAAGACAGGTCAACTATAGTTCACCTAGTACTTAATATCAGTACTGGTATGCCTGTCTGACAAAAGTCTCCTAGGAAATAGAGTATTTATATCTTACTTTGAGACATTCATCCTAAGAAAAAAATTCAATCTACCTTTTTGCCTGTATGTTCTTGGAAAAGAAATGTTGGATGCCTAGAACTGGCATGTGCTACCAAAGCTTCTCTGAATTCCTCTGCTGTGGCATGCTGTGCCCATTTACTCTTCAGCCTTTCAGTATTTCTCTAAAATTATATAAAAAAAAAACCTGAATTACTCACTTAAAATATACCGAGAAAAAACTACTGGCTTTGAGAATATGTTAGTAATAAGGCCAGGTACAATACATTCAACTCACAAAATTACATAGGCCAGGTAAAACTCACAATGCTGTGGTACAGGATTTCATGGAGCCAGTTATTTTCCCAGTGCTTGTCATTTAGTCATTTACCAAACGATTTTCAAAGTGACAAAAGTTTTTCTGATCAATTTCATCATTAACCTTTTAAATTAAAAAAAAAATGTACGAAAATCTACAATTTAACCTGGTGACATATGAATGACAAATTCATGAACCCAAGCTAATAAACAGTCACAGCCATGATGGAGCAGATTACATTTTGCAAATTTCTTAAAGTTGCAGTTTTACTTCTCCGAAAAATAGTAGACTACACTTCCGCATAAAATCTGTACTGCTTTTTGTGCAATTTACTTGATTAGTTCCATGACATAAACATAAGGAAAAGAAATGCACAATATAACAAGAAATGATTGTAACAGGATGCTGTTACGAAGTCTCCCAAACGAAGCTCCCATAATTCGTAATTCCCAGGGTCGCCTGACATTGGACAAAGTCCTGTGAAAATTGGTTTGGTCTAGTAAAGTTATATGCATTAGTGATGCCTGGGGACTAACCCTGTATATCATTCAAATCATCTTGGCATGACAAACCAGAATATATATGGTTTAGGGGTGGGGATCTTGACCATTTACAAGATACAAGAACATTGGGGGTGGGGGAAACCCCTGGGGACTGACCGTATATGTCAATCAAATGTTCTAGACATGATTAACAGGAATATATACTGTAAATTCAGAAATTATTGCGAGGTTTTTATTAATGCGAATAATGCGACTGGGTGACTATCGCAATAATAAGAACTCGCATTCTGATGTCTGTAACATATATCTGTATGCAGATTTTCATGATATCGCAATAATTAATCTTGCATTTTTGTCCATTCTTGAAAAATCGCAATAATAAATGCACGCAATAATTTCTGAATTTACAGTATGGTTTATGGGTGGGGATCTCTACCATTTACAAGATATAAGAACTTTCTCAAATGACAGGGGGTCGGGATGACCCCTGGGGATTAACCCTGTATATCATTCAAACAATCTTGGTATGACAAACCAGAATATATATGGTTTAGGGGTGGGGATCTTGACCATTTACAGGGGGTGGGGATGACCCCTGGGGACTAACCCTGTATATCATTCAAACCATTTTCGCATGACAAACCAGAATATATATGGTTTAGGGGTGGGGATCTTGACCACTTACAAGATATTAGAACTTTCTTAAATGGCAGGGGGTGGGGGTGACCCCTGGGGACTAACCCTGTATTTCATTTGATGTGCTTTATCATGACAAACCAGAATATATATGGTTTAGGGGTGGGGATCTCGACCATTTACAAGATATAAGAACTTTCTCAAATGGCAGGGGGTCGGGATGACCCCTGGGGACTAACCCTGTATTTCATTCAAACCATCTTAGCATGACAAACCAGAATATATATGGTTTAGAGGTGGGGATCTCGACCATTTACAAGATATTAGAACTTTCTCAAATGGCAGGGGGTCAGGATGACCATTGGGGACTAACCCTATATATCATTCAAACCATCTTAGCATGACAAACCAGAATAAATATGGTTTAGGGGTGGGGATCTCAACCACTTACAAGATATTAGAACTTTCTTAAATGGCAGGGGGTGGGGGTGACCCCTGGGGACTAACCCTGTATTTCATTTGATGTGCTTTATCATGACAAACCAAAATATATATGGTTTAGGGGTGGGGATCTCGACCATTTACAAGATATTAGAACTTTCTCAAATGGCAGGGGGTCGGGATGACCCCTGGGGACTAAACCTGTATATCATTTAAACCATCTTAGCATGACAAACCAGAATATATATGGTTTAGGGGTGGGGATCTCGACCATTTACAAGATATTAGAACTTTTTCAAATGGCAGGGGGTCGGGATGCCCCCTGGGGACTAACCCTGTATATCATTCAAACCATCTTAGCATGACAAACCAGAATATATATGGTTTAGGGGTGGGGATCTCGACCATTTAAAAGATATTAGAACTTTCTTAAATGGCAGGGGGTGGGGGTGACCCCTGGGGACTTACCCCGTATTTCATTTAATGTGCTTTATCATTTAGAACATTTTCAATTAAAAAGATTGTGTCTATCACAAACGGTTTTCAATTTATGATCATTTGAAAATTTAAAAAAATAAAATCCCATAGGGTTCTATAGTAAAACCCTCCTTTCTTGTTGCCCTTCAAAGTACCCCTTTATAAACCCCAATGCACAAACAAAACCCTGATTGCACCACTAGACATGTTAGTCTAGCATATTGTGAAACCTTAAGTTAATCTGACGAGCGGTTTTGGAGAACATGTGCGGACAAGTTCAAATTTAAAAGCGGCGGAAGAAGAAGAAGAAGAAGAAGAAGAAGAATAATAATAATAATAACAAGAAATGATTGTAACAGGATGCTGTTACGAAGTCTCCCAAACGAAGCTCCCATAATTCGTAATTCCCAGGGTCGCCTGACAATGGGCAAAGTCCAGTGAAAATTGGTTTGGTCCAGTAAAGTTATATGCATAAGGGATGCCTGGGGACTAACCCTGTATATCATTCAAATCATCTTGGCATGACAACCAGAATATATATGGTTTAGGGGTGGGGATCTTGACCACTTACAAGATATTAGAACTTTCTTAAATGGCATGGGGTGGGGGTGACCCCTGGGGACTAACCCTGTATTTCATTTCATGTGCTTTATCATGACAAACCAGAATATATATGGTTTAGGGGTGGGGATCTCGACCATTTACAAGATATAAGAACTTTCTCAAATGGCAGGGGGTCGGGATGACCCCTGGGGACTAACCCTGTATATCATTCAAACCATCTTAGCATGACAAACCAGAATATATATGGTTTAGGGGTGGGGATCTTGACCACTTACAAGATATTAGAACTTTCTCAAATGGCATGGGGTGGGGGTGACCGCTGGGGACTAACCCTGTATTTCATTTCATGTGCTTTATCATGACAAACCAGAATATATATGGTTTAGGGGTGGGGATCTCGACCATTTACAAGATATTAGAACTTTCTCAAATGGCAGGGGGTCAGGATGACCCCTGGGGACTAACCCTATATATTATTCAAACCATCTTAGCATGATAAACCAGAATATATATGGTTTAGGGGTGGGGATCTTGACCACTTACAAGATATTAGAACTTTCTTAAATGGCATAGGGTGGGGGTGACCCCTGGGGACTAACCCTGTATTTCATTCAAATCATCTTAGCATGACAAACCAGAATATATATGGTTTAGGGGTGGGGATCTTGACCACTTACAAGGTATTAGAACTTTTTTAAATGGCAGGGGGTGGGGGTGACCCCTGGGGACTAACCCTGTATTTCATTTCATGTGATTTATCATGACAAACCAGAATATATATGGTTTCAGGGTGGGGATCTCGACCATTTACAAGATATTAGAACTTTCTCAAATGGCAGGGGGTCGGGATGACCCCTGGGGACTAACCCTGTATATCATTCAAACCATCTTAGCATGACAAACCAGAATCTATATGGTTTAGGGGTGGGGATCTCGACCATTTACAAGATATTAGAACTTTCTCAAATGGCAGGGGGTCGGGATGACCCCTGGGGACTAACCCTGTAAATCATTCAAACCATCTTAGCATGACAAACCAGAATATATATGGTTTATGAGTGGGGATCTTGACCACTTACAAGGTATTAGAACTTTCTTAAATGGCAGGGGGTGGGGGTGACCCCTGGGGACTAACCCTGTATTTCATTTAATGGGTTTTATCATTTAGAACATTTTCAATTAAAAAGATTGTGTCTATCACAAACGGTTTTCAATTTATAATCATTTGAAAATTTAAAAAAATAAAATCCCATAGGGTTCTATAGTAAAACCCTCTTTTCTTTTTGCCCCTCAAAGTACCCCTTTATAAACCCCATTGCACAAACAAAACCCTGATTGCACCACTAGACATGTTAGTCTAACATATTGTGAAACCCTAAGTTAATCTGACAAGCGGTTTTGGAGAACGGGTGCGGACAAGTTCAAATTTAAAAGTGGCGGAAGAGGGAGAGGAAGAAGAATAATAATAATAATAAGAACTGAGCAAAAACAATAAGTCTTCCCAAACTTCGTTTGGGAGACTTAATAAGAACTGAGCAAAACCAATAAGTCTTCCCAAACTTCGTTTGGGAGACTTAATTAAAAGATTAAAAGTAGCACAATTTAGGTTTTTTAAAGATTAAATGGGTAAAATTCTGTCTAAAGTTGTATTTATAGTTTATAGTGCATTTGCTGATATTCGATGTTTTCTCTAGATTACATGCCCGTATTGACGTAGTCAAATCTGCATCTTTCCATATCTTAATTTCAACAACAGTTGTTTTAATTTTGTTGGACACTTAAATTCGTGGATAAATCCATCCACAAAAACCATGAAAATTGGTACCCCACGATTAAAAGTACTTTCACAGTATGACCACCAATTGTAAAGGATCTGTTTGTGATATTGTTACGGTAGTTAAGATATTCATTAATATACTTACTAAATCTGCCAATCTAAAGAAATCATGGAGACTATGATCTGGGTTAAAGGTCATAAGTTCAATGATGACTTGTCCAAGAGAATCATTGCCACCAAAGGTGCTCTTGTCTATCACATGGAAAATAATGTATCTGTAAATCAAAACGTAGGAAATCCATGGTTACACAGTTTTATTTTATTACTCAATTGTTTTACAATTGTATAGAATTCCCTATCACAATGTTGAAGCCCCATATAAGTCAATTTCCCTAATAGGTTTTAAAGTGAGGAGCACAAATACGATTTGTAAACTTGAATTTCTTTGATATTTTTGCTATTTAAAGAATTGACAGATCATAACCATTAGTTACAGAGAAACATAAGATAAAGATGTAAAAACTTTGGAGTTATCAAATGTTTGTAAAGAGCTGAACTTCAGTGAGTAAAAATGGAGTGTTCCACTCCAAAAAGCCAAATCTAAAAGGATCTTTGTGGTTCATAATCTGCTGAAAATTTAATCTCACATGTTACCCCAAAAATATAATAAAATGTGTTGAAATGTCTCGACTGTAAAACCAGCAATTATAAACATTAAAGTTGTATATAAATATCATATGCATGCATATTAATTTAGTGAACATTAAACTGGAAAAGGTTCTCTCCTACCTCTGAGGAAGTTCTTCAAGAGCTACTTCAAATTCAAATGTTTCATTCCAGACAGGATCCACAGTATTCTTCAATTCCTTAAAATAATACCAAAGTGTCTTGTCATACAAATATAATACCAAAGTGTCTTGTCGTACAAATATAATACCAGAGTGTCTTGTCATACAAATATAATACCAAAGTGTCTTGTCATACAAATATAATACTACAGTGTCTTGTCATACAAATATAATACTAGAGTGTCTTGTCATACAAATATAATACCAAAGTGTCTTGTCATACAAATATAATACCAAAGTGTCTTGTCATACACATATAATACCAAAGTGTCTTGTCATACAAATATAATACCAGAGTGTCTTGTCATACAAATATAATACCAGAGTGTCTTGTCATACAAATATAACACCAGAGTGTCTTGTCATACAAATATAATACCAAAGTGTCTTGTCATACACATATAATACTAGAGTGTCTTGTCATACAAATATAATACCAGAGTGTCTTGTCATACACATATAATACTAGAGTGTCTTGTCATACAAGTATAATACTAGAGTGTCTTGTCATACAAATATAATACTAGAGTGTCTTGTCATACAAATATAATACCAGAGTGTCTTGTCATACAAATATAATACCAGAGTGTCTTGCCATACAAATATAATACTACAGTAAATGATCATTAATTAAGGTGGATCATCGGTATATATTTCCTCAGATAGAATTTTCTTATACTTTGCTAAAATGGAGATTTTACTATGCTTTTTTCAAAAATATAATAAAAAGTAATGGTCACCATGCTATTTTTCAAGCTACAAGTCATGCAAAATTGCCCAAATTTGCATGGATTGTTCATGAAAAAACTCATTTTTGTGAATATTAAGAAATCTGTGATAGAATTTTGAAATAAAATATGAGAAGATAGGTTTTATAATATGCTTTAAGAAAATAAAAAGAAAAAACAGTGTCACCGAACTTGTTTTCTTGCTTCAAGTAAAAAATGAAAATGTCACTCTCAGTCCAGTATAAAAAAATTTACTATAAGGGTCATTTTCAAAAAATGTCTAATTTTCAGTACACCCATGCTAAATTTTTTATTTCTAATGGAAAATGCAGTTGTAAGTGTTTAAATGAAAGTTTTTAGCATTTATGAGTCAGAACAATAATAATAAACACGACTTAGATCTATTTTGATAAGATTAAAATACATTTAAGTCCGATTTTGGCGTAATTTATGTGCGTACAGTGTCCGAGTAACACATTTCAAATGATTTTTTTCCTATTTTCTGATCGCCTTGATATCTGTAAAAGGGACTTTTTTAGAACGTAAATAATAGCTCTAACGAAAAATCGTAGCTTCTTTATTATTATATGTAACATTTTGTCTACAAACTAAATTCAATCAGCGTACATGAAGTTCATGTCCATCCTATTACCGCTACTTAAAATAGCCGTTAAAGTTTTCTCCCTATGAATATTGAATTGATCAGTGTTGATTTCAAAAGCACAAAGTTACCTAAACATTTAATTCAGCACGTTTCTTGTATAACAGTGTAGAGAAAAGATATATCAAGATATTTAGTGAAAAAAAATAGAGGGTACTTTTTTGTCATGTCTATGCTGTTACCAACATATTGATTAATTACACCAATATTATACTTGCAAAAAGTGCAATAACGTGTTGGAAACCAAAATCACAACAGAAAAACATTATCACTTCATCAAAGGGAGTAGTTATTTCACAACAGCATTCAAAAATGAAGAAATTTGTCTATCCTGTTATGTCTATCATGTTACTATGGTTGCTATGGTTACAGTAACAGGATAGACAATAGTAGACAGAAATGTCTTTAAAAAGTTTATAATAACATATATTTGCACACATAATGAAATGTATCGTTGTTTGAACTCATCTAAAGGTTATAACGTCTTAATCTTCGCAATTTAGCATTTGCATGTGCAATACTGCTATCGGTAACAGGATAGACAAAAAGGTAACAGGATAGAACTTAATATAGTGATATATCATTAATGTACGTTCCTGTTACCAATAAAATAAAGACAAAAGTAAACCAAAGTGCGAGGGATTTACTTGATGTTGGGTTTATTTGAAAGAGAGAAAAAATGCTGAACATTATGAATTGCTACCTTAGACTTGCATTACTGGTGGTTATTTTTATAACCTTTGAAAACCAATTTTTATAGGCATTTTTCAGTACAACATGGAAAATTGGCAAATAATCTATTATTTCACAGAATGAATATATATAGATGTTTTTACTCTTGAAAACCATCTTATTGGCTACGAAAAACAAGCTTAAAATTTTATCGAAACCTTTTCTAAATAACCCGAAATTTCTTTTGAACATGGTAACAGGAGAGACAAAATATTGCACCACCTATCAAAAAATGTTTCAATATATTCTTGTATGAAATTATCAAGATTGCATCTTTTTATATGTTGTTGTATAAGTACTGTTTGTTTTGATTTGCTCATGACGAGGGATGTTGGAATAAGTAACTTTAAATCAATTTCAAAATTTCAGAATTCAACATTTTTTGAAAATGACCCATAAGAATTATCTCCCCATAAATGGCTTAGTTGAAAAATTGATTCCAAAAAAAACAAATACTTGGTATTTGTTTAAAAATCTTGGATAATGCAATCAATCACTTATTTTTCTTTATACAAATAAACAGTGTTACACATAAATTGCAAATCTGTCTCAAAATTTGATCAGTAAAAAACATTGAAATGCTCAAATACATATGACAAGAGTGCACACACTGAAATGTCTCGCCTTCTTTACTAACCACTGATTTTATGTTGATAGTCCTAAATATAAAGCTTTACTACAAGTAACACATAAACTTAACATGATCCAAGAAAATGAGGTCAAGGTCAGATAAAATAAACGAGAAATACATGTACACCTTACAATCATTCAATAAACCAAACATAGTTGACCTATTGCTTATAGTTTCTAAGAAACAGTCTTAATCAAGAAAACTTAACATTGACCAATGGACCATGAAAATGAGGTCAAGGTCAGATGAACCTTGCCAGACAGACATGTACACCTTACAATCAATTTATGCATTAAATATAGTTGACCTATTGCTTATAGTATCTAAGAAACAAACTTAACCATGAAACTTAACATTGACCAATGAACCATGAAAATGAGGTCAAGGTCAGATGATACTTGCCAGACATACATATACACCTTACAATCCTTCCATACAACAAATATAGTTGATCTATTGCTTATAGTTGAAGAAAAACAGACCAAAACACAAAAACTTAACACTGAGAAATGAATCGTGAAAATGAGGTCAAGGTCAAATAAAACCTACAAGACTGACATGTACATCATAAAATATTTCCATACACCAAATATAGTTGACCTATTGCATATAGTATTAGAAAAAAAGACCAAAACTCAAAAACTTAACTTTGACCACTGAACCATGAAAATGAGGTCAAGATCAGATGACACCTACCAGTTGGACATGTACACCTTATAATCATTCCATATACCAAATATAGTAGACCTACTGCTTATAGTATCTGATATATGGACTTGACCACGAAAACTTAACCTTGTTCACCGATCCGTGAAATGAGGTCGAGGTCAAATGAAAATTGTCTGACGGGCCTGAGGACCTTGCAAGGTACGCACATACTAAATATAGTTATCCTATTACTCATAATAAGAAAGAAATTAATGTTACAAAAAAAGTTCGACTTTTTTTAGAAGTCACTGAACCATGAAAATGAGATCAAGGACAATGGACATATGACAGACGGAAACTTCGTAACATAAGGCATCTATATACAAAGTATGAAGCATCCAGGTCTTCTAGCTTCTAAAATATAAAGCTTTTAAGAAGTTAGCTAACGCCACCGTAGCCGCCACCGGATCACTATCCCTATGTGAAGCTTTCTGCGACAAAAGTCGCAGGCTCGACAATAAAAAGTAATTAAATATAAATTTGTTCCATTTGAGTGTACACTGCAGGACAATTTTCATGAACAAATTTTCCCTTATATAGAAATGGCCAAATTCATATTTTTCAATGGTTTATTAAAAAATCTGATGAAAAAATAACAAATGCACATTGTATGTTATAACTTGGTTAATTTTCATTCCATTCCTTTCAGACTGTAGATGATTTTGCTTTAACATACTATAATGATGGACAGACTGACAGACAGTCAGAGAGGACAAAAAACATGTATTTAGAATGCAGGGTAGACAAGGTGGATATAATTTTAAGCAGTTACTATATCATAACATGAATAGGGTAGTTTTTCCTTTATCACATGTTAACTCTCTTCTATATCACAATTCAGTCAGGACATTTGATAAATATATTTCACATGAACTTTTTTGAAGAAGTCACAAAAAACACCATGTCATCTATCTTATTCAGAATAATAATAAAAGTGAAAACAAATACTAACTGTTAGATATGTATATTGACTTTGCAAGTCTCAAAACAAACCCTGACTATTGTCATGAACATTTAACAAGACAATTAAACTTCATACTTGATGCCCATTTATTATACTTTGCATTAATAAGTCATTATATTATACCTTAGTCTGAAACATTAATTTTGTTCCTGGTACAGTTACTTTAACAAATGGGTCAGCTAAAGAAACCTCATCTCGGGCTGACAAACCATGTGCTCCATGTATAGTAACCAGCAATGATGAAGGATGCTGGAATTCAACACTCACTTCAAGGTCACCAGATACATCAAGGTCAGTCTGTAAAACAGAGTGGTTCATTATACAAAAACATTAAATTATTTAGCTCAGCTATATCTTATAATTCTAAACTGATTTTTTTACACGGACAATGATTTTAAAACACTTGCCACTGACTAATGATTTTCTCTTTATAATTTAACTTTAAAAAATTGATATATTCTTATACATGTATCTTATCTTTTTTTCAACTGCTAACTTCTTCCTGAGAAGTTTATCTTATGAGAAGAAATGGTTCTATTTGTTTTGAGTGTGCGGTAGGTGCATTGAGTTCACATTTATTTCAAATAATTACCTGTCAACTGAAAAGGTACCTTATTAGTAAATACCAGAAAGAGTGCCTACCTCCATATTCAAATTATACCATGCTGTATGTATAGGGCTATCTCTAAAGTTAAATGTGTTTATATCTATTATAACTTCTCCCAGAAAATCATCTCTCCCCAGTAAATCACTGTCCATTACTTTAACAACCAACTTCCTGTTAATCAGCTCTGTTTCTGTTAATGGATAGGCAAAAATTTCATCAAACTTTGGGTTGTTGGTTTGTGGATATACCCTTGTTCTCTTTTCCTCAGCATCTTCTACATCAGGGGTCATCTCAAGCTGGAAAATAATTTCAAATTACAAAAGGCTTTGATAATCATCCATGGCATTTATGGTAACTAACTTCCATGTAAGTCAGAATGGAATCAGATGAGAAAGGAAAGTTTATAAGATGACAGGTGAGAACTATATTAATTTACTGTGGGATAAAGAACTGAAAACTTTAGCTTCATCATGGCATTTCAAGATATCATTTATATCGGCTTTTTCCATGTACCTTCACTTACCTTGACATAAGGATCAGACATTTTGGATCTCAGATCTTTAGATCGAAGCTCTCTACATTTGATGACCTTGACCAGCAGTAAATGTCTTTTGAAATCATATTTAAAAGATATCTGGATTTCTCCCCTGACATCTCCTACAGCTTTCATCACTGTGGGATCCAGCTTCTTAAATAAACCTTTCAGAATCTGCATATTTCTCTGTAAATTAACAAGAACAAATTATACATATGTAAGTAGCACAGTATATTTAAAAAAAAACAAAATATCCATCTTCTTGATTTTACTGTTTGGGGGCTCCTCTGTTTCCAAATCTCTATCTCAACATAACACAAAACATTCTTTGGGGCCCTCATTACATAAGAATAATTTACAAAACATAGATTTTATATTCATATCTTATACATATTAAAAATATGAAATATGATGAAGTCCATGACATGTCAAAGTAAACCCCAAAAATTATTTGGATAAAGAAATGGAATAGAGGGTGCAAAAGTTTTACAAAATTCTGTGGAGCCTTTCAGGAGCAGCACAGTAGGGGATCCAAAAGTGGGACAGAAGGACAAATTAATAAATAGACAGACACCCCATCACTAGATACTGCCCACTTCAAAAAGCAGGGGGTATAATATAAATTAAGGTATACAAATTCCAAAATATAAACCTTTCAATATTATTTCTAGCCAACATAACTAAATGTTATCTATGGATAAGTTCTTTCAACTAAAGCTCACAAGATAAAAATGTCCTAGAAAGGCAGTATATAGTCACACTTAATAAGTGATAGTGGAATATAGCTATAATATTGTAATTCAGAACAATAGTTTGGTCTTTAAGGCCAATCAGATTATTTCTAATTCCCTAAACTTTTCCTTTTTTTTCCAGAAAATAACTTATGTATGCTAAATATATGGATATGTCATTGTAAATTGATTTTCTCTCTTTCATAAGTTTTGATTTGTAACTTTATTTAAACATGATAAGTACCATATCTTCATCCTGTTTGGACCATCCTTGAGCTGCAACTATCTGTTGATGGTCACGCTTGGCTGATATCAATCTGGCCAACCCATGAATTTTGTTAATGTTCTGCACTTTCTGTACCTCTTGTCCCTCTTCCATAAGATGGTCCTCATATTTAGACTGATTCTTTCCCATCTTTCAATTTATCTGCAATTAAGTCAGAAACAGACCATCAGGTTGTAAATCAAAATATGATACAATCTGGAATGGACAATAGACAATATAAATGCCCCATTGTATGATACAAACATGACATTAACAAATTTCATGGAGTACATTTTGATGACTTTTATACAAAAGTTAAACAATGAAATAAACCAATGTTTACAATTATGAGGAAAGATTCAACTACATTTAAGTTTGTGACTTGGTCCATTCATACTTTTCCAATCATATGACTCAAACAGCAATGTGAGCTATTGCCAACACAAAGTGTCATGTCAACTGTCATATACATTGTACTGTCTTTCTTGTTTTTTCAGTAAGTTTTAAATTTTGTAAAATTTACTTAGCTGATAAATTTTCATAAAGATTACAAATTTTGTATGCATTTATTTTCAAGTTACAGTGAGGGCAAACGTCATATCAAAGCTTTTTCTAGTGTTATCTACATATAAATTTTAATACTAAACTCATTACAGTTTTTCTCATTTGTCAAATGTTCAAATTTATGTTTTGAATATATATGTAAGCCTCAAATCTATGTCCAGCCTCAAATCTATGTCCTTTCCGCAAATCTATGTCCTTTTTAATATTGCGTCATAGACGTTCCAAATTTATGTCCTTTATTGTCTCAAATCTATGTCTTTTATTGTCTCAAATCTATGTCCTGTATTGTCTCAAATCTATGTCCTTTATTAACTCAAATCTATGGCCATTTCTGTCTCAAATCTATGTCCTTTATCGAAATGTGGTGACGTAAGACATAGCAAGACGTCATCAAGTATATGACATCACTGCATAAAAGGAATACATAGATTCGAAACTGGAATAGTTTCACCAGAAAAAAAACTTTTTTAATAAGATAGTGGCACAAAATGTCGTTGTTAAACACTATATAAATACATGTAACACATAGCCGAGAGGGTGATAGATCAGATTGTTACCCCGAGAAAACATTGTCAACTGAGGCGAAGCCAAGGCTGACAATGTCTTTTCGAGGGGTAACAATCTGCTCTATCACCCTCTCAGATATGTGTTATTGAATTTATTATACTGAATGTTCTTTTATTACTGTCTATTAAATTTCAAATTCAAAGTAATAAACTATGTTGTCTTGTACATAACAATCATCCGTATTTATTAAAGCGCACACTTGAGCAAGCGTCTCCGTGAAGGGTAATAGAGTATTTGCCATGGGAAATAGTAAATTGTCTCCCTCGTATTAACCAATCAAAATCTGGCAAAATTTTGAACAAGACGTTTGTAAATAGGTGTATGTGTTTATAGCTTACGATACAGAATAGGTTTAATTCATTGTTGAAGGCCGTACATGTATCTTTAGTTGCTTGTATACAGATGTCATTTTGTCTCAGGTTGTTTATTAACTTATATTTCGTATTTGTTATATCAAGACGTAATGAGTAAAGGGAAGTAACGATAATTACTACAGAACAATTAAACACGGGATCAAGAAAAGCAAACAATTTGAAAATGTTGTAGTTTTACAATAAAATGTAAATCATACAATAATTACACACGCATGTAAAATATATAAGCACACACATGGAGAACACATCCCAACTTAACATTGAATTATGGGAAATGACTTAATAAAACAAAAATCCTATAAGGCCGTACTTATTAGACGGGCATAAATTTGCGCATGGCAAAAACAAACTGGAAAAAGATTAAAGAAAAGGACACAGATTTGAGGCCGTATCTTTTTTAACGGACATAGATTTGCGAATGACGTCACGATTGAAAACAAATTTGAAAACAGGACACAGATTTGAGGCCGTATCTTTTTTAACGGACATAGATTAGTGATTGACGTCACGATGGGCCACAGATTTGAGAAACGGACACAGATTTGAGGCCGTACACAGATCTGAGGTTTACATATATATATATATATATATACAAGTCTAAATTGAAAACAACGTTCAAACCTATGATTGCGTTGGATAAAAACCGCAAATTTTATACATGTGCATGTAAAACAAATTTCTTGGTAGAGGGGTCTAAATACAGCACAAACAACATTTTCCAAAAGACCAAAAAAAGTGAAAAGTATATTTTAACAAATCGCATTTGACTAACAGGTCGAACAACTGATGTTCTTAAACCCTGCTGACTGCCATTGACGATTGCCAAATAAATTGATCACGAGATGTAACATGGATCTTAATTATTAATTTAATACCAAACAGAAAACAATAAACAGGGGCGTTTCCATGATATTTGAAAGAGGGGGCGTAGAATACAATCTTTCCTCGAGCGGAGCGAGGTGAAAATTTTTTTGGACCTTTTTTTGGCTAAAAAACATAAAATAATTGTTAAATGCACTAATGTAACGGTTCCTGTCTTGGAGCATGTATATTTTATAGTTAAAGTGTCAGGGTTTGATATTCTTTATGCCGAATTCTCTCCATTAATTGTCTATGGTATATTAAAATGATTGGATGGATCTTAACAGCAGTAGACCAATAACGAGAAATTCCAAATTCTAGGGTATAGGGCGTTACTTTACATTTCAATAGTCCTAGGCCAGGATTTTATGAACGGGAGGCGTAAATCCGGTTGCCCTGGTATAGGGTCCATGGGGAATGTCAGAAGCTCCTGGATTTCAACAATTTAGCATCAAATTATGAAGTATTATAACAGACTCCACGATAGACAAATTGGTGAAAATAGTCTGACTTCGGATCATTCAAATTATGTATTGATTAACATGTGGATATCAAATCTTTGGAAGAAGTTGTAAATTCAGTAAAAGGTTATATGAAATGGGCATGAAAAATGAAAAATAAATCTTTAACGATAGCTTTTTCTGAACTTTTGATATGTGTATATATATATATATATACCCGTTTTGTTAAAATATACCTTTTCACTGTTTTGGTCTTTTGGAAAATGGTGTTTGTGCTGTATTTAGACCCCTTTACCAAGAAATTTGTTTTGCATGCACACGTATAAAAATTGTGGTTTTTATCCAACGCAATCATAGGTTTGAACGTTGTTTTCAATTTAGTAGATATAAAAAGATGTGGTATGAGTGCCAATGAGACAACTCTCCATCCAAGTCACAATTTATAAAAGTAAACCATAATAGGTCAAAGTACGGTCTTCAACACGGAGCCTTGGCTCACACCGAACAGCAAGCTATAAAGGACCCCAAAAATGACTTGTGTAAAACCATTCAAAAGGGAAAACCAACGGTCTAATCTATATAAGAAACGAGAAACACTTATGAACCACATCAACAAACGACAACTACTGAACATCAGATTCTTGACTTAGGACAGGTGCAAACAGTTGCAGCGGGTTTAAACGTTTTAATTGTACCAAACATTCACCCTTATCTGAAACAATAGTGTAACATTGTATTTATAATACCCCGTTCTAGATAGTCAAATCTGACTCCTTCCAATGCAAGGCGAAAAAAACATAACCCCATTTCAAACATTTAGCTGAAAATGCAACCCAGTTTGTCGGAACATACCTGGTATCATATATATATCGAGTATCCACCGGGTAGATGTAGAATGGCCATTGGGGAAGTGTCACACAAAACAACCATTTCATGTATAGATTTACTTACCGCTTTGGTTGTTTAAAAAAGGTGTCCAAGTCACCCATTGGATGGGGGAATCAGTATAAGAAGAAATCAGAGTATGTGTTTAATTAATGAATATGATAAATTGCCATATTCAAAACAATATAAGCAGATAACTCTAGTTTTTTTTTTTGTTTTTTTTTTTGAAAAGGGGGGCGTACGCCCATTACGCCCTTACCTGGACCCGCCCCTGATAAACTTGCGGAGAAGATGGTATACCGCAAACATGAGGTGCAAAAATTTGTACACCATATCAGGATTTCGACAATTAATGTCTCTTCAGTGATGTTAGGGATCGAAACGGTATTTGGAAGGCCATATAATTTACCTCAATTTAGGATAGACTCTTGAATTTTAAAGAGTTGAAATAGGATGAACGGATCATATAAACCCGAAGGAAAATATAATACAAGCCCAAACGAAAAAAATATAAACAAGTCTAAATTGAAAACAACGCTCAAACCTATGACTGCGTTGGATAAAAACCGCAATTTTTATACGTGTGCATGTAAAACAAATTTCTTGGTAGAGGGGTCTAAATACAGCACAAACAACATTTTCCAAAAGACCAAAAAAAGTGAAAAGTATATTTTAACAAATCGCATTTGACTAACAGGTCGAACAACTGATGTTCTTAAACCCTGCTGACTGCCATTGACGATTGCCAAATAAATTGATCACGAGATGTAACATGGATCTTAATTATTAATTTAATACCAAACAGAAAACAATAAACAGGAGCGTTTCCATGATATTTGAAAGAGGGGGCGTAGAATACAATCTTTCCACGAGCGGAGCGAGGTGAAAATTTTTTTGGACCTTTTTTTGGCTAAAAAACATAAAATAATTGTTAAATGCACTAATGTAACGGTTCCTGTCTTGGAGCATGTATATTTTATAGTTAAAGTGTCAGGGTTTGATGTTCTTTATGCCGAATTCTCTCCATTAATTGTCTATGGTATATTAAAATGATTGGATGGATCTTAACAGCAGTAGACCAATAACGAGAAATTCCAAATTCTAGGGTATAGGGCGTTACTTTACATTTCAATAGTCCTAGGCCAGGATTTTATGAACGGGAGGCGTAAATCCGGTTGCCCTGGTATAGGGTCCATGGGGAATGTCAGAAGCTCCTGGATTTCAACAATTTAGCATCAAATTATGAAGTATTATAACAGACTCCACGATAGACAAATTGGTGAAAATAGTCTGACTTCGGATCATTCAAATTATGTATTGATTAACATGTGGATATCAAATCTTTGGAAGAAGTTGTAAATTCAGTAAAAGGTTATATGAAATGGGCATGAAAAATGAAAAATAAATCTTTAACGATAGCTTTTTCTGAACTTTTGATATGTGTATATATATATATATATACCTGTTTTGTTAAAATATACCTTTTCACTGTTTTGGTCTTTTGGAAAATGGTGTTTGTGCTGTATTTAGACCCCTTTACCAAGAAATTTGTTTTGCATGCACACGTATAAAAATTGTGGTTTTTATCCAACGCAATCATAGGTTTGAACGTTGTTTTCAATTTAGTAGATATAAAAAGATGTGGTATGAGTGCCAATGAGACAACTCTCCATCCAAGTCACAATTTATAAAAGTAAACCATAATAGGTCAAAGTACGGTCTTCAACACGGAGCCTTGGCTCACACCGAACAGCAAGCTATAAAGGACCCCAAAAATGACTAGTGTAAAACCATTCAAAAGGGAAAACCAACGGTCTAATCTATATAAGAAACGAGAAACACTTATGAACCACATCAACAAACGACAACTACTGAACATCAGATTCTTGACTTAGGACAGGTGCAAACAGTTGCAGCGGGTTTAAACGTTTTAATTGTACCAAACATTCACCCTTATCTGAAACAATAGTGTAACATTGTATTTATAATACCCCGTTCTAGATAGTCAAATCTGACTCCTTCCAATGCAAGGCGAAAAAAACATAACCCCATTTCAAACAATTTAGCTGAAAATGCAACCCAGTTTGTCGGAACATACCTGGTATCATATATATATATCGAGTATCCACCGGGTAGATGTAGAATGGCCATTGGGGAAGTGTCACACAAAACAACCATTTCATGTATAGATTTACTTACCGCTTTGGTTGTTTAAAAAAGGTGTCCAAGTCACCCATCGGATGGGGGAATCAGTATAAGAAGAAATCAGAGTATGTGTTTAATTAATGAATATGATAAATTGCCATATTCAATACAATATAAGCAGATAACTCTAGTTTTTTTTTTTTTTTTTTTTTTTGAAAAGGGGGGGCGTACGCCCATTACGCCCTTACCTGGACCCGCCCCTGATAAACTTGCGGAGAAGATGGTATACTGCAAACATGAGGTGCAAAAATTTGTACACCATATCAGGATTTTGACAATTAATGTCTCTTCAGTGATGTTAGGGATCGAAACGGTATTTGGAAGGCCATATAATTTACCTCAATTTAGGATAGACTCTTGAATTTTAAAGAGTCGAAATAGGATGAACGGATCATATAAACCCGAAGGAAAATATAATACAAGCCCAAACGAAAAAAATATAAACAAGTCTAAATTGAAAACAACGCTCAAACCTATGATTGCGTTGGATAAAAACCGCAATTTTTATACGTGTGCATGTAAAACAAATTTCTTGGTAGAGGGGTCTAAATACAGCACAAACAACATTTTCCAAAAGACCAAAAAAGTGAAAAGTATATTTTAACAAATCGCATTTGACTAACAGGTTGAACAACTGATGTTCTTAAACCCTGCTGACTGCCATTGACGATTGCCAAATAAATTGATCACGAGATGTAACATGGATCTTAATTATTAATTTAATACCAAACAGAAAATATATATATATATATCGTAGAGTTGTCACTTGTTTAGACGTACTTATCAAATAATTATTTCTGTGACTGTATCTTACGATCCTTTACGATAGATAATTTAGCTAATCTGCAATAAATTCCATCTTCATACCTAATATATCATGTACTGTGTTACAACTCTAGATTATACTGATGAGGAAAGGTAACACTAGGCCACCGAAAGCTGAATTTTTGTTCAGTCTAGGTGGCAGAGTGGTCTAGAGTGCTGGACACAGTGCAGGCGGTGTTGTCGTGATATCTCAATAGCATGAGTCGAATCCCGGTGAGGGAAGAACAAAAATTTGCTCCCACAAATTTGCAGATTTAACATTGTTGTGCTGATATTTAGAGTGATTATGTATATATATGTAGGACTCTAAAGTGCGATGGGGACACTAAAGTGCAATGATCACGCTAAAGTGTGATGGTATACGCTAAAGTGTGATGGTATACGCTAAAGTGCGATGCCTCCATACGCTAAAGTCCGATGGTCCGCGAAAGTATAGACGTAAGAAACGTAGTTTGATTATGAAGTTAACAGTCATTTATGCAAACTAAAAAGGAACACGCCGGAAGATAAATTACTAATATTTGATTAACAACTGTTAAACCAAATGTCAATGACTTATTAATAAATCAATTTAAACCTAACCGTGCTTTGACGTCTGAAGCAAATGTGGTTTTTTTTCGGTAGCTGGATGAAGAACTTGTATCCTGCAGTCGACCATTTTACTATTTAGATACAAAATAGTATTCGCATAAATATCCTGTATCGTGCTTTTATTGGAAGCGAACTCGTTGTTTATCAGTCAGAGATATAACTCTATAGGGTTATTACAGAAAATATCTTGCATGTGTTATTACAGATACTTGATGAGTTGTCTACTGTTTAATCCTTAAATTTTTGAAATCTGTAATAACACATGTTTGTTATTTGTAAAATAAATCATAAATGTTTTAATTTTTAGTGGGCTCTAGGGAACTCTTGAAACTTTGCACAGAAACTAAATGCATAGCCTTGATAAATAATTTTTGAACTAGATTAATACATTTTTCATTTACCATGGTAAATCAATGAAACAAGGCTTTCAAGGGATAAACTCAGCTGTAATAACAAGGCTTAGTTATTAAAGGCATGTAACTTATTATATGAGACACTTGGGAATTACTAGGAAACTTGCGCAGAACCTCATTACATGCTCTGATCATGATTTCTTACAATGAATTAAAATACATTGTAATTAAGCATGATGTATGTCTGAGCAAATGCTTTGGAGTGATGTAGAGAAGCTGTAATAACACCCTTTAGTTATTACAGGCATATTTTTTCTGTAATAACATAGGTTTACTATGCATGATCGTCAAACCATGAACTGTTACATTTTTCTATAGTTTAGAATACATAAAGACAATAGTAATATCAATAGCACTTATAGACAATTTAACAAAACTAATGATGTATATTGTTCCTTTGAAACATGTAACATACATATGTTATCACAGTTCTTAGATTTTTTAGTCCTCAATAACAAATGTATGTTATTTTTCTCTAATAACCCTATAGAGTTATATTCTTGACTGTTTATGTTGCAGTTTACTTTGCGGTCCCCGTTTAAATATTGTCGCTTTAAAAAGTAACATCGGTAAAATAAAGGTACATGTTTGCATGTGTAAATTATAAATTGTCTGCTAAAATATTAGTCTGTACATTATAGGAAAATATAACATGTATGCTTAGTCGCTACAAAAAAGGAGAAAACTCGGCGAACATCGCCTTTTTCTCTCATTTAGATTAAAGTTTAAACAAATAAATGCTACAAATGCCGACAATAATCGAATTTTGTATTTGTAATTTACAATGACGACTGTAAGGGGAGGTGTTCCCATTAGTGATAGACTGTGTGAATGGCAAGCTACGCCAATTATCAAATTTTAATACGCCTGAATTGTTAAAAATTCACTTACAAGAAATATAGTATTTTGTGACACCTAAATTACCTTTTTAGAAATTATTACGTGGTCGGTCTTCTAAATTTAGAAACAATCACTTCAGCATACCAGTAGATTATAATGCCTATCACATATGGTATACCTTAGAATACTAGATTTTGCAAAAGGACTATTTTTACATCTTATGTTCTTTAACGTTTTTAAAGACCTCGAACCTTACCCTATTGGTCCATCGCACTTTAGCTTGATATACCACCGTACTTTAGCAAACAAACAACTATCGCACTTTAGCGTGAGACACCATCGCACTTTAGCGTAGACCATCGCACTTTAGCGTGACCATCGCACTTTAGAGTCTTACATATATATATATAGTCAACAACTAATACACACTTACCTGAAAATTTACATCATCACACATATTTACTAATAAAAATTGAAATAGTTTAGAAAAGCCAAAAAACATCCAAAATTTTTATGGTTTTCTTAGTACTGTAAATTCAACTCCAGCATGTAACAAATGTTATCAATATAAAGATATGAATGAGACAACAACCCTTAACCACAATGTTACTATCTGTCTGCCATCACAGGAAATCACACAGGTTCTGTAAAATTGTGATGTCACAACAGAAAAAATTTGATACCACATTTAAAACCTGATTGTGGTATGATGTCTAGCATTGCAAACTTGATAAAATCTCAAGTGAAGAGAGACAGAATCCAAGAATGCAATATACAGTCTTAAAAATCAAAATAAGACATTTGTTATTGTTTAACATCATTGTAACATCAACAAATTATGTTACCCTTGATACACAGATAAATTTAAAGCATCAATTTATGTGTACTCTCTACATGCATAGGTGATGAGGAAGTTGAGGGGTCAGCAATGGACCTTTACCTGAAATAATGTAATTTATTAGATTGGGGAAGATCCTCATAATTTGGATATTATTCGAATTCCCCTATTTTGAGAATAGAGTAAAAGTTAATTGTCTTCATAAACATTTGTCCTGATATTTCTATCATGATGTGTTTAATGGGAAAATGTAGCCTTTTGCATCATCATTTTCACCATAACATCCAAATTCCTGCCAGCCAGAATTAAAAATGCTTATCATTGAAAATGAATACCTGATTATGTGTTTAATACCAATAAATGGGGATAATACCCATTAAAAAGATCATCTTGAACCTTTTACAAAGGGTATCACAACACATTCAAAACTTGGTTCCGGTCGCCCAGGGTTCATTTACCCACTTAGTCTTTTCGCCCACATTAATATATAAATTATATTTATTATTCCATGGTATTTGGTTTTATATATTCATATATTTCAGTAATTGATGTAAATAAAAGGCAAATGTATAGGGAAAACTGAAATATTTTTGTAAAATTAATTCAAATTATTGATAATTGATAATTTATTAGTCAAAAACTGTTTGGTTTGGTTATAATAATTTTAATCATTAAAGGCTGTTGATTGATCTACATATACAATGCCAATTCGGTATTATTATTATGTGTTCAATCTCCATGACTATTATAATAACCTGGGTCTAATACAATCTGTTATAAGTAACAACTAGCTTTAATTTCTGTGATTTAATTTTGAAGTAAACACATTGCAAATTAAACTCTAGAGTTGGCTTAATAGTAAAACAGTGAATGCATGGAGTGTAAAACAAAAAAGTAAATCTATTATAACAGTCTGGCTCCTTTAATATTGATCTTGTGTGATTTCATAAATACGGGAATAAACGAACATTTGGGGATCTAATATGGAATCACCACATTCACACATAAAATATGGTACTGTAACAGCTAGCTAGTACATGTGTATTTCATGTGACAGAGATTCGATCTCGACAGCAAGCATTATTTTGTGATTTTAGTGACAACTAAAATTATGATCCAAAAAATATGCTAACATCTTCAACATCAGGCTTCTCAAAATTTTTAACTTTAACCCTTTTTATATATATTCATATCATCTCGAGAAACATTTATCATGTTTATACAACAAAACGAATGAATATAATAATTATGTGGGTGAACTGACATGGAGTGAACATGTTTACAGATGAACAGACATAGGCAAACAGTTTTGTTGGGTATGTGGACGATCATGATATAGGGAAAACAGCAATAGATAGTAAAAATATTTCAGAAATTAATATGAATATAATACAAAAACGAAAGTTTTATTTGATATGGTGAATCTTTCAAAAACAAACTTAAGCTCTTAGCAGCTTTTTATCGAATACAAATATCAATTATGACCTCGGGTCGATTGGAATCCGGGTCCATTCGCCCAAAAACACGTTCTCTCCCATTCACTTTTGCCCCCTTTCACGTTCGCACCCCGGGTCAGTTCGCACCCTACACGTTCGAACCCTTTTTATTGGTTTTGTATTAAATAATTTTTCCATCGTTTTTTTGGTAGTGTATTGCTATAAATATTTTTTTTGTTCATTGTTTCAAAATAAAGTGACTTTCTAAAGGTTTTTTATGTTGAAAATTTTTTTAATGTTAAGATACCAAACCGCTATTACTGAACTCAACTACAATAACATTTTGAATCTTCCATTGTTTTTACTCATACCAAGCTAAATACATGCTAACTACATGCAGAATTTACATCAAAGCTAGTTAAAACAACAATCACAATTTTCAAACACATAACAATAACACCAAGTTTAGCCATGTAAACACCATATTAACAGTAATCATACATAATTAACATATAATAATTAATCATCAAATCAATCTAAACAATATTTCATTTAAAAATTCTCGAATTTTTATTTATGAAAATAAAAATATTTTGATATAAACATCTAAAAAACATCTAATAATTTATCAGGTTTTTGAATTAAAAAAAAGGTGCGAACGGACCCAGGGGGCGAACGTGTGGGGTGTGAACATGTAGGGTGCGAACGTGTATTGGGCGCGAACGTGTATTGGGCGCGAACGGACCCGATACTGGTTGATTGGGTGTAATTCTTTCATACAAAAACAGGACTCAAAATTGGATTATAGATTAGCTTTTGGTTTGTAATTACGTTTTATGTTATATTTTTAATTTGCACAGGTTCCTAGTTCGAAATGTTAGAACAGGAGGAGCTTATCTTTGCTTCATGAACATGTTAAATCACACTTAATAATTAAACAACCCAAAAAATGAAAATGAAAGCATAGAAAATAAAAAAAAATAGAAAATTAAAATACTTGTGAAATAAAAATTAAAAAAAGAGCTTTATCCTTGAAAAAATCTCATAGACAGCAAATAAAATCAATGATTGATACTGCAAAGAACTGTTTAGAAAGGTAAATACTGTATTGTGTATAATTCAGGGGAAAATCACCATGTTGTTTACCTTGGAGAAGTCTCGGATCTAAACAAACTCGCCCTACAACAAACTCGGACTAGTGCTAAAAACCAACGACCTAATTTATGCTAAAACAAGGAAAAAAGACTAACAGGACAGACAGCGACCAATGACAACCACTGAGTTGCAGTTGTTTTTTTCAACTTTAGTGGAATTAGTGGTCAGATTTTGTTAATGTCCGATTTGCAATGGACAAAATTTATGAAGGCTGGGTTTGTGTGGAACGAGTCCGAGTATGTTATGGCCCGACTTGGAAAGGAACCGAGCCGTACCGGAATCTCCCGAAGAAATTTATCAAAACGAGGTCGATGGCGCCAAGTTGGAAGTGAAATGAACTGCTGTCAAATGAAATAATAAAGACCAAACATTAATAAGGTATATTTACGATAAAGTTGTTTGCTAATACTAACATGGATTCTGTTTGTCATGTTATATAAAGTGAGCACGATCGCATTATAATGCATTTTAATATGTGAGACTGAGAGTCTGAGCGAAAAAAAAAAGTGTTTTGTTTACATTTTTACAGTCGGTTTACATCCATATGTGTATCAGGTCTATTGTTTAGCTTATTCTACAGTCTACTGTTATCGAACTTATTCCAAATCAAGTAGAAATAGCGGCCATTACATAATGGACAAAAAGAATAACAGGCTGTCAGTAATTTGCTCAAACATTGAATAGTACACCAGTCACCACCTCACTCCTTTGAAAATAATTTCACCAACAAAAAAAATAAAAACCATTAAGCTTTATACAGTTATTGCTTTGATAAAAAATAGACATATGAAATGTGTTTTTTTTAATCATTTGTAACATGTATATTACACTTACAGAATGTTTGTCAATATATCCAACAGTGCTAGAAGTTCAACACCTTCAGCTGAGAGATCAATATCAAAGACCAGAATCAGCAATGACACTTTAGACAGTGGTATTTTCTCTCCTCTAGCTGACAAAATGAATAAAGATCCAACACTATTATCAACAGGAGTGTTACAGATAAGTCCATTAAAAATGCCTTTATCTCCGGCAAAAATAAAAAATGAGTCAATAATGTCAGAAATGACTGACATCAGTATTTCAGAAGAATGGGAAAAGGATTTTTTTTCTAATTTTGAAGAAAACTTGTTCAACATGGATATAGATGATCGCATGTTGTCTGACATTTTGAAGTCTCCCAAGGGAAAGGCTGCCATGAATGAAATGATACGCTCACCAAAAGGAAAAGCATTTGTTAATAAAATGATGAAGTCACCAAAAGGAAAATTGATGAAACGACAGTTTGATAATGAGCTCCCAGGTTTTAGCAATGAAAGCCCAAACAGTTTTGATGCAAAACAATTGTCCACTACACCTATGAAACCAGAGTTAAAAGGAATGCTTAAAATGTCTAATTCAAAGCGAAGATTAACAATGACTGACCCAAATATGCAAGGAAACGTGGACACTGATGCAGAAATAGATCTGTATATACAACAAAATATCTTGGGAAAGGTTAAGACTGAAAATAATCAAACACAGCGTAGGCAAAGAACCGAATTTGTACCAATTCAACCAAAAGAGAACCAGCAGCCAGTTGTTTGGCCATCACAAGAGAGATTAAAATTTGCCAGGGCGCAGTTCCAAAAAACCTTGCAGATGGCAGTACAGAAAGTTTCACACGACACACATAAAAAAAAGGTGAAATTTCAAGAGCCAGCAAAATTTAGAATGGATAAGTATCCAGAAATCAAACAAGCACTTGCAAGACCCACTGCAGGTCAAGTCAAACGTCAGTTTCCTAAGATTAAACCATTGAGTATTGAACCTAAAGACCTCTTAGTGCCATTCATGGAAAGTTCAGAAAACACATCATGGTACATGTATGATGAAAGTGACGATGAAGATGAAGAATGGGTAGAAGATATACCATTCTCTTCACAGAAGAGGAGTAAGAACTCTAGATTACAGAACAAGCAACGGAAGTATTGATAGAGAATCAAATTGACTAAACATTACATGTATATGTAAACTTAAATGGGTTTGTTGTTCTTACAAACGTGATAAAAATGTTCATCTCCACCAAGGGTCGAGATAATTTGTTTTCCTTATACATGCATATACATCTTGATGTCACAATTTAGCTTCATAAGTCTCATACTTATACATGTAGCTTGTCATCGATCATTGCCATCATGTTTTGTCTAATTTAAAGAATATATGGCCTTCATCGTACATGTATTACAAAATATTCTTGTTTAATTTTGAAAGCTTAAGATATTTACAAAAATTTAAAATTGAATTTGGCTCAGGTCACTCATAAAATGAACATACACATGTACAGTCTCGTGCTGATGTAAGTTGCTCTGCAAATCTATGTGCAATGTATGTATGTACATGCATGTACAAAATGTACATATAGACATGTAATTGTAAGCCCTGAAAATTGTTTGTAGTAGTATCATATCTTAAAAAACCATGAATTAATATTTTGAGGTTTGTTACCCAACAAGGAATGTGTAAGGGGAAGAAACATTTTGACAAATTGTGACTTTAATAGAAATTTGAGTGTTTTTCTCTCTCTCTCTCTCTCCAATGTTACACCCTCTGTCATTGTATCTTAGCTATAAAATTAACAGATGACTTTCATTTCTTTGCAGTAATTGTAAGATTCTTTTACAATCCATCTTAAGTTTACTATGCTATGGAAAGGTTTTTATGCCCCACCTACAATAGTAGAGGGGCATTATGTTTTCGGTCTGTGTGTTCGTTCGTCTGTCCTGCTTCAGGTTAAAGTTTTTGGTCAAGGTAGTTTTTGATGAAGTTGAAGTCCAATCAACTTGAAACTTAGTACACATACATGTTCCTTATGATATGATCTTTCTAATTTTAATGCCAAATTAGATTTTTGACCCCAATTTCATGGTCCACTGAACATACAAAAATGATAGTGCAAGTACTATGGACACATTCTTGTTTTTTTAAATTTTGATAATTTTCTTTTTGTATGACTTGTTGGGTCTATTAAGAACGCACAAATTTGATTAATTATTTCATGTTCTGTCCCTTCATTTTAATATGATTTGGATATAGCAGTTCAATAGCAAACATAGAGACAGGGAAACCTGTGAATAGTTTCCAATCAGCTTGTATTATATACAGTAATACACTTTACTTTAACAGGTACTAAGATTTTGTCATGCTTTGTGATAAAAACAACAAAAGGTTATAAAAATTATGATATTGTTATAATCCTTTACTCAGTTCATGTTTATACTGTACATGTTGATTCAGAATATTTATTTTAGAATTTGCTTAATAACAATGCTATTGGTCAGCAATTTAATGTACATATTGCATGAGATTTGGTCGTAGACTAAGTTTTCTAATCCGACTATTAACTGATGTTCAGTAGTTGTCGTTTGTTGATGTGGTTCATAAGTGTTTCTCGTTTTTTATATAGATTAGACCGTTGGTTTTCCTGTTTGAATGGTTTTACACTAGTAATTTTTGGGGCCCTTTATAGCTTACTGTTCGGTGTGAGCCAAGGCTCCATGTTGAAGACCGTACTGTGACCTATATTGGTTTACTTTTATAAATTTTGACTTGGATGGAGAGTTGTATCATTGGCACTCATACCACATCTTCTTATATCTATGTATTAATACAGGAATATAAGTAACTACTATGGCTACTTTTCTCTTTTTCTGAGCTGACTTATCATTTTCCTGACCTGTTATTATTTTTTAGGATTTAATGTGTCTGCATATTGTCTGAAAATCATTTAATAGTCGGATTAGAAAACTTAGTCTACGACCAAATCTCATGCAATATAATATTTCTCCACTGTCAACTGTTAACTTTTTTATATTTAAAACGCTTCTCTCGCCTCACATTTTAAATTTGAAAATTTAACTGTCTTGAGTGGAGAAATATTGTATCTGACTCGATGCAGTGGTAGAATCTACATGTATGTCACTTGTAACCAGCAAAGAAAATGTCACAAACATATTTTAACCAGCATCAAACACTTTCGAGTAAATTTGAACAATTCCTGTTTAATTAATATTTTTCTAAGACACCAACTCTTTTTACATGTACTTAAACAGTTGTTTATTGACTTTAGCGACAAACCACTAGAAGCCAAATATCTAAATGATAACAGTGAGCTCTTTTTACTAATGCCAAAATACTCAATGCTGTGAATTGTACATTGTAATGTATGACAAATTATAATCTCCAATTTAATATACAAAAGTAATGCTGTAAGAGAGCACAGTCACTTTTGCAATAGCAATGAATTAAGATCAATACCAGGGAATAAGCTGTTTTCACATTTTGATGAATAATCATTGGTAAACATTGTTTGCAACCATTTGTAATACTGGAATATGTACATATATGTATCGCTTTGTACACGAAATGTATACCATACTGTTGTTAATGTTTGAAATTGTATTTATTTATAGTAGATTAGTTTATACTTAAATATAGATTATACATGTACTATATTTTTTCTTTTTGCTGTATTAATAATATATATATTATATTCTGGAATTTGAAATAGAGAAGTCTGATTGTTTTAAAATTGCTTTTATAGCTCACCTGGCCTGAAGGGCCAAGTGAGCTTTTCTCATCACTTGGCGTCTGTCGTCCGTTGTCGTCTTCATGGTCTGTCGTCGTTAGCTTTGTACAAAAATCTTCTCCTCTGAAACCACTGGGCCAAATTTAACCAAACTTGGCCACAATCATCATTAGGGTATCTAGTTTCAAAAATGTGTCCGATTACCACGCCAACCAACCAAGATGGCCACCATGGCTAAAAATAGAACATAGGGGTAAAATGTAGATTTTGGCTTATATCTCTAAAATCAAAGCATTTAGAGTAAATCTGACGTGGGGTAAAACTGATTATCAGGTCAAGATCTATCTGCCCTGAAATTTTCAGTCAAATCTGACAACCTGTAGTTGGGTTGCTGCCCCTGAATTGGTAATTTTACGGAAATTTTGCAGTTTTTGGTTATTATCTTGAATATTATTATAGATAGAGATAAACTGTAAACAGCAATAATGTTCAGCAAAGTAAGATCTACAAATAAGTTGTTATGACCAAAATTGTCAGTCGACCCCTTTAGGAGTTATTGCCCTTAATAGTCAATTTTTAACAATTTTTTGTAAATTTTTGTAATCTTTTACAAAAATCTTCTTCTCTGAAACTACAGAGACAAATTTAACCATACTTGGCCATAATCATTATTAGGGTATCTAGTTTAAAAAATTTGTCCGATGACCCCGCCTTCCAACCATCATGGCCGACTTGGTTAAAAATAGAACATAAGGGGTAAAATGCAGTTTTTGGTTTATATCTCTGAAACTAAAGCATTTAGAGCAAATCTGACAGGTGGCAAAAATGTTCATCAGATTTAGATTTATCTGCCCTGAAATTTTCAGACAAATCCGACAACCCGTTGTTGGGTTGCTGCCCCTGAGTTAGTAATTTTACAAAAATTTTGCAGTTTTTTGTTATTATCTTAGATATCATTATAATATCTAATATCTAATACTATTAATTATGATTTTAACCTTATTTTACATGATTTCCAAAGCATCGGTAAATACAGGTGAGCGACACAGGCTCTTGAGAGCCTCTAGTTTTTGTGGATAATCATGTATTTCCTCAGATAGAATTTTCTTATACTTTGCCAAACTGTAGATTTTGCCATACTTTTTTCAAAAATATAATCAAAAGTATGCATATGGGTTACTGTGCTATTTTTCAAGCTACAAGTTGTCATAAATTTCTCAATTTTACATAGATTAATCATGAAAAAACAATTTTTGTGAATAAAAAGAAAAATATGTGATAGAATTTTGAAATAAAATATGAGAAAATAGGTTTTGGCAAAGTATAAGAAACTTCTATCTGAGGAAATACATACCGATGATTCACTTAAACGAACAGTCTTACACATTAATAGCCAATCTGTTTAAATATTTGCAGATTAAAGCAAAGAACTAGACTGATTATGTACTGCTATTTTACAATCCAAGATGGCAGTATACAGTTAATCTACCTGAGATGTTATTGCCTGGTCTCAAAAGTGTAATCATATTCAAGTTGACAAGCATATTTTTTCTATACTTTTAAGTGAAAACATTAGGCTGTCTATTATTAGACTGAAATGGTCTATGTGTTACTGTGTAAATATAACAATTTAAATAACATCTGGTCAATTTTACAGAAATCCTTTTTGGTTGAAAATATTTTTTTACAATAAATTACAACAATAATAACAATTATCTTCATTACTGCACGTTATGCAAGCACAATCAATCAATCATCACAGCACATACATGCATATATACGGTTTGATAGATTTTTTGTGTTAAATGTATTTTTGTCTGAATATCATCCCATTGTACAATGTGTTTGCTTTAGTAAATTCATTTTGAAAGTGTTTATTGTCATATGATTGTTGCAATATATCATTAGTTGAGGGTTTTTTTTCAGTTATTTTTTCATGAATTCTCTATTCTAGCTTTGAACTTACTCATTATCAGGTTCTCTGCATATTAAATGATGCTGTGAAATATCAGCTGTGAGTCACAATATGAAGCTTTTAGTAAAGTGGGCACATGCATATACAGCAGAGTAGTTCAAACAGGCTTCGTTTTGTGTAAAGCCGCTAGTATTTTACAATATACAATACACAATGATATTGTTGAGCAGTTATACCTAGAGAGAACACTGAAATCAATATAAAGAAAATATGATAATCATTTTATAGGTTGTATAAACATTTTTTTTTTCATCACAGAGAGAAAAAATGAAGAATAATGAATTATTAATGATGTCAGTGATAAGTCCAAGTCAAGCATATTTGTCGTCACAAGGATGTGATATGCATTTTTTATTTTTAAAAAATATTATCAGATTGATATAGATTTTTTTTTTCTATTAACTAGAAATTTTGCTTATTAACTTGTAGTTGAAAGCATCCTTGCTACATGTATTGTAATTATGTACATTTAATAGACAAAAGAATTTTATTTAGAAGGGAGATAAAAAAAATTTCTCCACTGTATAACTGTTCTTATTATGTCCCATGCAACGAGTTGCGGAGGGTATAATGTTTTTGACCCGTCCGTCAGTCCTGTTTCTTGTCATCGCAACTCCTCTCAAACCACACAACAGAATTTCTCGAAACCTTTTGAGATAATAAGGACATACTATGTAGTTGTGCATATCGACAGGAAATTACGATTCAATTTTTTTTCCAGGAGTTACACCCCTTTGAACTTATTTGCCCAATATACTACTGCAACAGTTTGTCATCGCAACTCCTCTCAAACCACACAACAGAATTTCATGAAACCTTTTCAGATTATAAGGACATACTACGTAGATGTGCATATCGACAGGAAATTACGATTCAATTTTTTTTTCCAGGAGTTACGCCCCTTTGAACTTATTTGCCCAATATACTACTGCAACCTTTTGTCATCGCATCTCCTCGCAAACCACACAACAGAATTTCACGAAACCTTTTTAGGTAATAAGGACATACTATGTAGTTGTGCATATTGACAGGAAATTAAGATTCAATTCTTTTTCTAGGAGTTACGCCCCTTTTAACTTATTTACTTTAATGTACTACTGCAACAGTTTGTCATCACAACTCCTCTCAAACCACACAACAGAATTTCATGAAACCTTTTCAGATAATAAGGACATACTACGTAGATGTGCATATTGACAGGAAATTATGATTCAA